AGGGGAAGGGAGGGGAGGGGAAGATAGAGCTAGCAAGACTCATCTAGTCTTCAGGACCCGTCTCAGCATCTCTGCTACTTCCCTTTGTGCTCATCTCCCAACCTTAGCTGATGTACCTGTCTCCCTTGTCTTCCTTCTTAATAACCTGTGATGGGTCCCCATGAATCATAGGACAAAGTCAAGGTCTGGCACCTGCTCTTTTGAGTTCCACGGAGTAGGTCTCTGGGGATCATTTTCTAAGCCCCCCAGTCTTCTACAGATTCCCCATCTGCCCCCACATTGTGTATTATACTCATGACTCTTTCATTTCACGGTAATAATGTATTTACTGCTCTCAGTTCGAAGCTCTTCTGAGAAGTTTACATGCATGCAGAAAGTCCCTGATTCTCATGACAACTTGATATAATAGAAAACAGCACAATCCTCATTTTACAGACAAGGAAACCGAGGCAGACAAGTAGAGCTCCATGCCCTGCCCAGGAGCCACGCTTCCATCTGTCATTGCCTGACACCCTCCATTATCTCCCCTCTTCTGGCCCTTCTCTGTCCACTCCAAATGAGGCCATGCCAGGTAATGCGTCTCTACATTGCCAGCGACAGCAGTGGCAGGCAGGCAAAGAAGGCACTCAGCCTAGACCCCTGAGTAAAAGTCAGTTTGAGACATTGCCCCAGCAAAAGTCCAAGCAGAACAGGGCTTCCTTTTCCACAATCCAGAGCACGGTCCAAGATCCTCCTGCTCAAAAGACAGAGAAAGGGAGAGGGAGGATGTTGCCTGTCTGTCATCTGTACTGTTATACCGTCAGACCACCCACCCCAGGGGATTATGTCCTAACCTCCTCCTGAAGCCCTGTCAGCCTCACCAGGCAGTGGCAGCACCATCTCAAGACCCTCAAGACATGGAAACTCCACCCTTAAGGAAAGAAAGCCACCACAAGAGCACACATCCATCTTGGGGAAGTTTCCCCAACAGCCAAATCCACAGAGGCAGAAAGCAGCCTGAGGGCTAAGAGAAAATGGGAACTGGTCCATGGGGATCTCTCTTTAAGGTGTGTGATGGCCCACCTGACACAATCCAGAATGACCCGAGAAGGGAGTTCTGATGCAGAATTGTCCAGATTGTCTGCGGGCATGCCTGCGAGGGACCGGAGTTAACTGAATGTGGAAGACTCGGCCTGAACGTGAGCAGAACCGTTTCATATGCTGGACCATGGGAGTGAATGAAGAGAAGAGGGGAAGGAGGGAGGGAGGGAGGGAGGAAGGAGGAAGGAGGGAGGGAGGGAGGGGGAGAAAGAGAGAGAAAGGAGAGACAGATTGAAGGGGGGCACAGAGCAGCAGCACACATGTATTAACCCATTGTTGTCTGCTTTTGAATGTGGATGTGACCAGTTCTTTCAAGCTCATGATGTTTGGCTTCCCTGCCACAGGGGATTATAATCTCAGAGATTCTGAGCTAAACAAACTCTTCCTACCTTAAGTTGTTTTGGGGGGTATCGCATCACAACAACTGTTAAGAACAGGAAGGCAAAGTGGTAAGAGCTGCCCAGCTGTGGAGCTGGTAGCATGGGTCCAGCTGTGGAGCTGGCAGCATGGGTCCACACTGAAAGTCAACAGTAGTGAAAAAGAGGAGCTGAATTGGAAAGAGAGCAAGGAGGGTTTGGGGGGAGAAAAGGAAAGGGAGATATGGGGTAATTATTAACTCAAAAAATAAAAGAAATCCTTGTAGTCACCATCATCACTGGCTTTGCTTGCTTCTAACGGGAGAACCGAGGAACTATCTCACTCAGGCAGTGACGGGGCTCACTAGGCCAGTGACAGAAGAAGCCCAAGCAAACAAGAGTGTCTGGAGGAGCTCTGGCTGCAGGAAAGCAGGGTTGTGGATTAAGATGAGCCGCCATCCTAAAATGCAAAGTGGAGTTAGGGGCGTGGTCTCAAGCTTGCTGCCTCTGCTGTCAGCCAGGACAGACAGCAAGGACAGCCTGTCCCCCAGGCCAACTGCCTCTTCTCTCCTCCTTCTTCCTCCTCCCTTGGTTCTTCCCTTCCACTATCTTTTTCTCTTCCTCTCCTTTGTCTTTGGCCAACTTGCCTGAGGACACCAACATACACCTGTATTCACACACACACACACACACACACACACACACACACACCTTTAGTGTGTCACTGTAGGCAGCCTCCTTCCCAGCAGGAACCATTGTGTTTTCTGCCTTCACCTCTGCAGCCTGTCCTATGACCACCCCTGGACCAGCCTTTCATAGGCAGCTCACATCTGTCCCTTTTCCTCTGGTTCCTTAGGAACACTGATCTCAGTCCCTGGGTAGCCCATTTCCAGGGGTGGTTGTGGTAGTGTATTGGACAGAGGTCTGGGAAAACACAGGTATAGATGTGCCTCGTTTAAAAGCCACCACTGTGAAAATTTGAATTGTAGAATAAATTCAGGAGGGACCCCCCAACCATTCATAAAATAGCCATGCCTGACTGTAATGAGTCTGGCATTCTAAACAGACTCGTTAAGTACAACTGTAACCTTCACTATTTCCAGAATTTGTGTTCAAAGTATCTCTGACTTGAGACAGGCAAAAAGCAAGGGGACAGCCTCCCGGCTTCATCACATTTGGTCAGGCTAGCAATGAAGGAACGTGGAAAGTGGTGATTAATTAGTAAGAAGTCTGCTCACTGGCTGCTCAGGAGGCAGGCACAAGTTCCTAGGCTACAGTTATCCCTTCTAGAGGAACTCCTCCCTCAGCCAGCAAAGACAGATTCATGGTGCAACACTGTTACCAATTACTTAAGTGGGTCAGTGAGTGTTTTTTTTTATTGCTAAGAAAGTATTTCCTCCTTCATAGGAAGTAGAATGAAATAATTCCTGTACAAAGAGGTTCCTTGCAGACCAAACCAAGCACCACAACTTCCCATAGAAAACCTCAGTGACTGAAGTTCCAGGGATGGGACTTGACAGTTAGGGGGCAGGGACTTCATCCCAAAGCATCAGCCTCAGGATATGCCAGTCCCCCACCCATCACTATCCCCATTACCCCCTACATGTTGCCTCCACCCTCCACCCCCACCACCCCTGTAGAGACAGGGCTGAGATTCTGACACAAACCCGTCTTTCCAGCTAAGAGTCCAAAGGAAACCTCAGTCCCTACCAGGGCCAGGCGCTTCCTCTTGGCACCTTAGTATGGCAACTGTCTTTTTGCTCCCAAATGAACCCAATTGTTCACAGGAATGGCCAGATCGTGGCAAGCTGCTTCCTCTCAACATCTTCCTGCCCCCTCCCCATGAGGTAACTGTGATTCTTATCTAATTCACGGGAGAGGTAAGGCTTAGAAAGCTGAAGGAGACATGAGAGAGGAGTACAAACCATGTGTCTTCCACGGCCAACAGCACATGTGCCTTGCTGGAAAGGCTACATCACTACGGGACAACTTCCAGAGGGTCCACACATCCTACTGTGTGCTATTCTCCCAGGTCTGGGCTGCCGAAAAATTCATGCTGATCCCCCCTTTCTCTGTGGTACCAGACTCTCCCAGAGGACCTGGTTCCCTAGGCCAGCCACTATGTAATCCTTGGAGTCCTGGTTTCCTCTGGACTTTTTGAGCATATGGACACTGTGAGTCCTCTGTTGTCCAACTTAGCTCTCTATTTTCTGCTCTTCCCACTCTCTCCCCACACCTCCTCCTGGGTACCATTTCCTTAGCGTCTGTACAGCTTACTGTGTGCTGGCCTCTATCAGCTAATCTACGCCATCACTACATGGTGTCTGAACAACACGGGGCTTGTCCACAGGGGAGCCTTGGTCTGTGCTCTTGCCCTGCTTCTTCCTCCACCTTCCCAATCCTAGGAAGAAACAGGACCAGTCAGAGAGAAAAGGAGAGAAGCATGGAGGGAGGGATAAAGGAAGTGAAGGAAAGAGGGAGGGAAACAGGAGGAAAGAGAACTAGAGGAAGGAAACTAGAGATAAGAAAAAAGATGGTGGAGGGAGAGGGACAGAAAGTGAAGAAAGAGAAGAGGAGAAAGTCAGGAGGGAGGGGGAGAGGTGGAAGAAGAGCTGAAGGAGAAAATGGAGGATGAGAAGGTGAGTGAGGAAATGGATGCTTCTGGAAAGAAGAGGTAAAACGTCAACATCCTGGGGTAAAGCACCAGACTTGTCATTTGTGTGACACACACACACACACACCATCATCTGGTCCCCTCCAGACTGAGATCCCCCTCTGCAGAGGCTCAGCCTGGGATTGGAGTCAAGGGAAACCAAGGCATTTGCCTGAGGTCAAGTGTGCAAACACCAAGAAGTGGGTAAGGGAAATTGCAGTCTAAAATGAGAAAGCAGCTGGAGGAGGCCACCTTTGCCCTGGATCAGGTCTGCTCCCTTTGCCCTGGATCCCAGCCCTCTCCCTTTGCCCTGCATGGCCTTGGCCCCCTTTGAGTAGGTCAGGGTGTCCCTTGGGATCATTCCTCAGGACTCCCCTCATCCTCTCAGCACCTCCTCCAAGCCAGGCTATGTGACTCTAGGACCAAGGAGCACAGGCTCCCCTTGATGGTGTGGAGAGGTGGCTGCCTGGACGAGAAATGTCCAGACCACAGCAAGAGTGGAGGTGTGGACAGAAACACCGAATGGGGTGATAGGATACGCTGCAGGCTCAGAAAAGCCTTGGACAGGCCAGGAAAGCAAAACCAAGGTGAGGCTGAAATGGCATTCCAAGAGCAGGAACAGAAAATGCAAAGACCTTGGGGGCTTTCAAAACTGACTGGAACTGAGAATCTTTGACAGCCTACAGCCAGTGGATGAGGACTCCAAAGGAAAGAGGTCTACAGAGGCTAGATCTTAGAAGTCTTGAGTGCCAAGAGAGGGAGTGTGTAGCCTCCACACTTTAAGCAGAGAGAACTTCGAGCAGAGAATAAAGGTAGAGAAGGGAAACCCACGGGGAGAGCAGGAGAGATGAGGCATAGAGTTGAAGTTCAATCTCAAGGAGAGGCGTGGAGGGTGGCCCGGCTGCACTCACCACGGAGCCAGCGCGCACCCGCGTGTGTGTCCTTGAGGCGGATGAGGCGGCGCTGCACGTAGCTGCGGCCCACGTACCACAGCATCCAGAGCAACTGCAGCAGCATGAGCGCGGTCAGCACGCACAGGAGGTCGCTCTTGCCCACACCCGCCGCGTGCACCGCCCAGGCCAGCAGGAACAGCAGCCCTGCCACGAACACATTCAGCCCGTATTGGCTGCTCAGAGTCTCTGCCAGCTTCTGTGGGACGCTGGCGCCGCGCCGGGGACCAGAGACCCGTGGAGACCCCTCGGCCAGGGGTTGCGGGAGCGATGGGCATGCCGCGATCCCCGACGGCGCGTCAGGGAAGGAACCTGCAGATGCTGCGGGAGAGGAGGGCGCGCCCGGGCCCCCAGGCATCTTCCAGTCTGGTCCCCAGGCGGTTGCTCCAGCCCCGCGCGTTGCTCCTGGCTCCTGTCCTTTCCCCACGCCCTCTGGGCACTAGCCGCGCTCGCCCGTGCCCTCAGATCCTGCCCTCCCCCAGTGCTCTCGGCCCTTGGTCAGCCTCCCTCCCCGAGCTCCTGATGGCTAACTCGGTTCCTGCAGCCAGTTGCCCCTGCGGCTAAGCCTTGAACCGCACTGTTCCTCTACCCTACCTGTGCCACCCGCACCCCACCCCCGCGCCCAGCCTGCCTACCCCACCCCGGGGCCCCGGAAACGCGGGACCGCAACAGGTGCCGCCCGCCGGCTCCGGGGCTGGCGGGGAGGGGTGGGATACCAAGGGATACTTGGAGTCGAGGAAGCCAGATCAGGGAGTTGCTGAGGGCGTGGCTGCACCGGGGGTTGTGTGCCAGACCCCCAGAATTCTAGGTGGCCCCGCAAGACCCAAGTGTGCATGGGTCCTTCTCATCTGCGTGTCCTGGGTCTCCTTGTCATCTGCGTGTCCTGGTTCTGCCTCTGTCTATTGAGTGCTTTTTGTCTTTCTGCCCTCAACCTGGGAGTGTGTCTGGCTCGGGGTGGGAAACAGGGAAGAGACCTTTTAGGGGGAAGGGTCTCTTCGTTTGTCACTTTTGGGTGTCTTCGTGGGGACCTCGACGCTGGTTGAGACTGGAGCCAGTACCCAAGGAAAGGTCATCCCTCCCTGTCCTCCTCCGGAGCTTCCCGGGGTAACCGAGGGTACCCAGTGGTCGCATAGAGTCCAATTGCGTCCATTCCAAAGCCTTTCACAGCCGCTGTCCACGAGGCCCCCGGCTCTGGTGCCAAGAGGAAGCTAAGCGCAGCTGGTTTCTGCGAAAGAACGTCCTAAGGTTGACCTTGACCAGAAGGAGAGCCGGGAGCCCAGAAGAGTGGTCCTAGAGGGCAACGGGGAGCAATTTGGACATCGGACTCTCAGAGTGCAGCGCTGGGCAGGGCACAGATAGAGAGAGATGCACAGATAACGCTCTAGTGTAGCCGATTTTAACTAATTAATGTCTTTATATTTTAACAAAGAAACCCATGCTTTTTGTTTTCACGGGACTCAATACATGGACACTGTAACTGCTGGTGATGACTGCTAAAGAGGGGAGGGGGCAGGAAATTTTGGGCCCACTGAGCCCTGGGCCTTGCCTCACCTTCATTCTTAAATTCCTTCATTTGTTCATTCAGTAGTTATATAGGTAGCCCCCACTGAGATATTTTCTGCACTCTGTGCTTGGTTCTGAGGACTCATTAGGGCCAGGACAATCCAGGAAGCCAATGGTCAGGTGAGAATCTACTGCAAGCAGCCTGAACTCAGTGCACTGGGCTGCTAACCAGCAACCCTGTCCAGCCCTTCAGGAGACACAGCACCCCAGGAAGCCCCCTGCTAAGAAGGCTGAGAGGTTCCCAGCAGGAGGCAGCATCTGCAAGGGCTCCACGCTGGACTAGCTCTCCTTGTGGACCGCAGGAAGCAAGTGGGGAGGGGCTTCCAACGTGTGCAAAGAATGATGGAAACGGCACTAGCCAGATGTCCGCAGGGAAGGCACTTGCTACCAAGTCTATCAACCCATGCTGGGTGCCTGGCCACACATCGTAGGAGAGGACATATTACTACAAGTTGTCCTCTGACCGCCACAGGTTCACAGTGATATGTACACACTCACTCACTCAATCAATCAATCGTCACTTTAGAAGCGCTTAAATTTCATCCTAGTCCCAAACCCACGACAGGCCACAGATTCGAAAGAACCTTTGGTTGCCGAGGGACTGGTCTCCGAGGAAACGCCACCAAGGCATCATGTCACCCTTCCCATGCCTTTCCTAGCATCATGTCATGGTGGCTGGTTACCGGCAAGGCCAAAATGAGGTATTTTTCCCTCTGAAATAATATCCGAAGTATCTGAGAGTTCTGTGGCTGATGTGGAGGAGCCCTGCTCACATCCCATGCGGCTCTGTGGCTAGGTCCCGCTTACCTTCCAGGCAGTTTCCTGATCCTTCCACACATGGTGGCGGTCTCAGAGTCAAAGTAGGAAATCCACACCAACATGATACAACCAACTGTATAAGAAATTTCACTCACACGGGGCTGCTTTTTCTCTCATTTTGTTTTCTAGAGAGACCTTGCAGGAAGCACTAACAGGGGCTCTGAGCTAATGCCATGGTTACATGAGTGTATGGGGGGAACAACACACGTATGCGCATGTGTGTGGAGGCCAGAAGACAATCTCGAGCGTCGTTCCCCCAGCACTGTTCCTGTCCCCCACCCCACCCCAACTTATCACACAGGCTTTTAGGGATCCACTCACCCCTCCTTCCTCAGTGCTGTATTACAAGCGTGTGCCACCATGCTGTCTTTCTTATTTTAATGTAGAGTCTGAAGATTGAGTTTAGGTCTTCATCCTTACAAGACAAACACCTTACTGAGTAAGCTAAGGCTCCCGGTCCTCCTATGGCTACATCTCTCTCATCAGTGTGTGAGATCTCATGACAATGACACACCCATAAGTAGACAGATGGGGATGTCACCAACAGCATGATGGGAGGTCCTCTGTGTCCAGCACAGGAGGGAAAATGCCCCCTCCCTCCATGGTAAGAGGGTTCAACACAGCCCCACCTATCCCAGGCAGATCCGTGGAGTAAGGTACCCCTGTTATTGCTGGGCTCACTGAAGCCTTCTGTGTGTTAGTGTGCTAACCTACTTCATTGGGTGATCCATCTTCAGCCCTCTTTCCCACATCTTGGTCTTCAGATAGTCATTGATCGTTGAGCCTTCTGGAACCCACCCATGGCCCGGTGCATGTTTCTGTTCTCACAGCTCTTTATTCAGACAAGGCAACATCAGATATACCATTCGGTCTCCATTCTGCTCATAGGAAGGGGTTTTCTAACTACTGTCACCGGGGTTGGCGCTAGGTAGGACTGCAACGCTGTAGCCGTCCACTTTGGGTTGGTGCCATCTTGTCATGCAGAAGCGCCTGTAAACATGGCCTGAGATGCTTCTCCTATCGTGAGACAGTCTCAGGCTACTGTGGATGTGGACTAAGGAATCAAGGCCACGAAGCAGGTGACAGTCTGGAAGGGACGTGGACCACCTGCCGGTCAGCTTGTCCAATGTCTTACATGCCACAAGGGCTTTGACAACACACACCACTGTATATACCCAGCCTCGTGGTTGGATAGATCAGATAATACCCAGTTCACTTAATTGTCAGAGAGAGAACAGAAGTTGTCTACTGGAAAATAACATCTGTAGAGTAAAAAAAGGCCATTTTTACTCTACAACCCTTTAGATCTACACCATGATTTTCCTGTTGGCTCCTGCCAGACACTGTATCTAGCCCCATTTGCAAAAGCCACCCCAGTGTCCTTGGCTTTGTTGAGCTATAAGTTCCAAATCAGAGCACCTAGAAGTACAGGCTGGGGGACTCCAGAGTCACCAGCTCTCTGCTACCCACTCAGAACTGGGATGCTGACTTGGAGGCTCCACCTGCAAAGTCAGCTGATCATACATGCACTTAAGGATGGTGAAAGCCACACACCTTCCCTTTGAATCTGGGAAATCCAAGCTGCCCCATGGAGAGGTCAACAAAGAATGAATCCCGTAACCAGCACCTACTGCCAATCTCAATGAAGCATCTTGGAAGGGGCTTTCCCAGTCTCAGCTGAGTTTAGCCCCTGTGAGGCAGAAACAAGGTGTCCCTGCCAACCCCTGCTCAGATTTCAGATTCCTGAGCAGAATAAATGGTGGCCGTTGTTTGAAGCCACGTACATTTGGGTGTGGTTTGTTATGCAGCAATAGGTACCCGGAACATACAGAAACAAGTGGGATTGAGTCCAAAGATCAGAGAAGACCGGGGAGGCTTTCGCCAGTGACCCCTGTTGACAGGGACACAGGACTGGGTAAGGAAAGTTCTGATGGTCACAAGAGAGATGGTGCAAGGGTTGTGGGGAGTGAGGGATGTTGTGGATATTTGGCTCACAGCGTGCTGGACTCAGGTCTGCTCACTCCAGCCAGAATCTGGGCTGGGAAGGACAGAGCATCTCACGACCCTTGTGACTTGTCTCTATCACACACACGATAGAACTCATTCCTGCACTTCATGTGCTGTAATGACATTTCCTTTCACTCTGAAGGTGCTGTCGCTCGAGCTTGGGGCCTTAAACATGCTGGACAAGCACTCCACCACTGAGACATGTCCTCAGACCTCGGGGCCTTATACATGCTGGACAAGCACTCCACCACTGAGACATGTCCTCAGACCTCGGGGCCTTATACATGCTGGACAAGCACTCCATCACTGAGCGATGCTCTCAAACCTTTTTTAAAATTTTTGAAATGGGATCTATGTAGCCCAGATTGGCGTCAGATTAAAAACTCTTCCTGCCTCAGCCAACCTCTCAAGTGGCTGAGACCACAGGCATTTGCCACCATACCCCATTGTGATTTCTTTTCAAAGGCAGAATAAAGAGATAGAAAATGGATGTAAAATTCTTTGGTGGTTGTGGTGAATAGGGGGATCAATGGTTGGGCCTCGCTGGAGAAGTGTGGAGAAGCCTAATGAGACACGTGTGTGTAGGTAGAAGACTGCATACTGCATTTGCATGCTGACAGGAATGGCTCAGCCCACGGCACGAGGATTACACTCAAGGTAAGGTATAAAAGGGTTTGTAAACTGGCCATGGTGGTAAAGGCTAGAATCTTAGCACTGAGAAGGCTGAGGTAGAAAGTTCACAGGTTCAAGGCCAGTCTGACCTACATAGCAAGTCCAAGGCTAGCCTGGGCTACACAAGTCTCAAAACTACTGAATGAGGGAAGAAAAACTTCAACCATCCCTAAGATTCAGACTTTATAAATGAACCATCACACTTTGAGGGTCTAGGGAGAGAGTGCTTCTCAGCTGCAGAACCCGAAGCCTTCTGTGAACTCATGTTCCTTTCTGGAATAGTCTCTATTCTTGGAC